AAACTGCTTTGTTTGTTTGAAGGAAAGCGGTTGGTTTCGAACAAAGATTAGATTATTGTTTGTTGACTTGAAATATTATAAAATCTTGAGTTACAAAAATATATTAACGAAAGTTACGACAATGCATGAATGAAGACTTCCGTTCTTAACCTTCATTAGCATCAATAGATATAAGTAAGTTATAATTTTCAATTGAATAAGAACCAGTAATAAATAATCTTTATAAAATCTAAACTAAAAAAAAAAAAAAAAAAAAAAAAAAAAAAAAAAAAAAAATCTGAAATGTTTCAGATTTTAAATTACGTCCAAAGGGGCGTTTTTTTTAACATTTTGTGTGTTACCTTTCTTTATTAAATATCATGTTCCTCGCACTTAAACCATAAGATCCAGTGCAACAGCAATATCGCAAAATAGTTTTAAAACGAGCATATCTTTAGAATTTCCGATACAGAGACTCACGCGCTGGAGATAAAAATGTTTTTTTCTGCACAACGTTGCCATTGCTCGCTTTGAAATCCTTGAGTTTGTTAATTAAAAATTCGTCAAAGTTTTAAAAAAATAAGAAATCGATCATAAAAACAAATTTCAAATTTCAAATTTGGTCTTCCACATGCTCATATTCGTTGGAGGATTACGTTATTCAAAATTCGATGACTCTACGTACCGTTATTTTATGACAATGTGAGAAATATACATACATTTACGCAGATTTTCATTATTTAATTTTCTTCAAATATAATGCAGGACTCTAACATTTTATGGCAACAGTTTGAAAAGTGAACCGATATTTATCCGTCCGACGCAAAATGCCAAAACGAAACTAATAGTCCTTCGGGATTCAAATCCCTTTGGACTAAAAAAAATTGAAAAATAAGGAATTCGTTTCATCTGTCTACTCCAGGTTACAGTTAATAATACTCGCAATTCCCATTGCGACTGGTCAAGGCACCAGTTTGTTGTGTAAAACTTTTGCTGCGATGACATTTGTGAAATAATCCGATACAAAATTTTGAGGAACTACAAATTTTTAATCTTACTGCCTAATGAACAGTTTGACAATTTAGTGCCAATATACCAGTAATTATAAAATTACTCAGGTTCGATCAATATAATGCTATTTACAGTTCATTATCTCGATCCGTCGTGTACAAAAGCCATATTCCTAAATAAACATCCATATCCTAGCTATTATTCACCTTTTTTTTTTCCTCTTTAAAATATATTTTCTTATATTCCCCAATAACATATTAAACTCGCAATAAACATACAAATAAAAACTTTATCCTAAACTCCAGAATAAATATTTACCATTCAAATAAAATTCAGATTTACATAATCATTCTGTAACTAAGAAAAGATGAAGTGTACTTAATGACTGTAGGCTTCAAAGTTCCTCCCAACCAAGGAACAAAACAAATTTAAGGAAGCAGTACCTTTTTTTTTTTTTTTTTTTTTTAAGGCATATGAAACCTGTCCTTGATACAGTCACACATAACACATTTTGATATTATTCACAGACTGCAGCCATTTTCTCTCTTACGCTAAATATCAGCTCAGACCTTCTTCGTATGGTACGTCGGAAACAAAAGCCAATATTTTACGTGTCCGGAACCGTCTCTTTAAGCTTCCGCAATTGAAACACCCGCGAAGTACATTATACATCTTGACTTCTCAGCTGTTTTATGAATTCATGTTATTCCCTTATATTACACACTTATTCGTTCCATGATGTCCGCCGATAACATCGCGGACGAAAACGTCGCAGAGAAAATAACGCAAGGCGAAAACGTTGTACCACAAAACATTGTGGGAGAAACATCGCAAAGAGAAAACATCGCAGATCTAAAACATCGCGGTACAAAATATCGTCGTCGAAAATAAAGCGGTTAAAAAATTTCGCAGTTTAAAAATATCGTCGTCGAAAATATCGTGGCAAAAAATAAAGTACCTATAAATTATCGCATGACGATAACATCGCAGGCATGCTCTTTTCAGACTTTTATAACTGTAAATAGATATTCCCGTAGTGATTTGTAAGCGCAAGATGGAAAGAAGGATAATTTTTACTTACATATTTTTTATAAACTAATAAATATTTGCTGAAAACGTAAGAAGGAGACATGAGCATAGAAAATTAATGCAACTAATAGCATTTCACAGAATTTTAAACCGACATGTTTAACTAACAAAAGGCATTAATAAATCATTTTTATAAAGTTTTTACTGGCAATTTTTCATGAAAAATATCATCTAAAAAGATTAGAAAAAGGAAGGTAAGTAACTGCATGATCTTAATTATAAAAAATTGCAAAGTTAATTTGAGATTATTTTCATCACTTTTGTTAATCTAATACACTTATAGCTAAAATTATTTCTTGTTTGTTTCAGTTTATTCTTAAAATGTCATTAAAATTTTCATGCACAGCGTGCAGTCAGTTACTTGAATATCGATTTGTTAGTTAGGAAGAAAGTCAGCTATATGATATTTCAGTAGGGTTTATTAGATTATGCCAAAGAAAACACGGCTATCTGCTTAAAGGGTGGGATTACTTCGAGTACATGCTCAGGAACTGGTTCATTTGCACAGTATACTTTAGGAAAATCACGAAAATCTTCACGCAGTTTTTTTTTTTTTTTTTTTTTCTTAGAAATAATGTATACTTGCAGTGAACCTTCTTGGTGACTACCTCCCTAAGAGGAACAGTGTTTTTGAGGACAATAAACATAGTGTGGTGTAGTGTTAATGCTTCAACGGTGTGATGTTGAACTCCAATCAAAACGCTAATGACGGAACACCACATGAAAATTTTATTGAACGCCCAAAAAAATGGCTACGTACAATTCAGAAGAGAAAAACCTAAATCTTTTCCTTAAAATCAAATTCTATACATTTTACGTGCGAGAGCAATTCGTGGCTCTCGAGCTTGCCCTTTTAACATTGCCAACGATTTAATTATTTTAATAAAGACTATTTTAACAACTATTGAAAACGTATTTGTAAGTTAAAAAATAATAATTTTCAGCTTATGCTCACGAGACATCCTTGTCCATATTAATCTTCAGTCTCTTCTTCTTTTATGTGACCTTATCACAACTCCTTCCCTCATAAAGAAATTTTTCTTGACTATGGAAGGAAAAATTCTAAATACATTTCACTGCTTTCAAAACACAAGTGGTAACCATTTAAGTGATAATAGAGAAGCCAGTTACATTACCCTGCACTTATTTCTAGATAACATAACCGCATAAATACAACAAAAATAATTTAAACTACTCCTAATGTCTGCCTTATACAAAGCATATTCCTCAAATTTTACACAATGCTAATACTTAAGATAAAACATTTAATTCTAACAATTTTTTGAAAATGAAACACACAATGCAAACAGTTTTGAATCTACACAAATATAATTCCAAAACTCTACAAAAATCATTTTCATTACTTTTTACCTTACTCTTTATCCACTAGTGATGTTCAGTCACTAGACTAGGGCACGACTCAAGCCATCTGTATTACCGTGTAATTTGCCTGGCTATGAACAATTTCAAAGTTGTACTGTTGGAGACACAATGCCCAGCGAGTCAAACGAGAATTTGATCCCTTCATTTTGTTTAAAAAAGTCAACGGATTATGATCCGTCTGGATGTTGAATTTTTGTCCGTCTAAGTAATGACTTTCTTCAGTCCATAAATAATGGCCGCTAGTTCTCTTTCAATGGTGCTATAATTTCGCTCCGCTTTAGTAAACTTTTTGCTAAGATACAGTATAAGGTCTTCCTTCCCCATCCTGAATTTGAGACAACACAATACCCGCACCATATAAGCTGGCATCTGTCTGCACAAATAATTCTTTAGAATAATCTGGTGCAAATAAAACCGGACGTTTTACTAGTTTGGTCTTCAGTTTATTGAAAGCCTCGTCGCACTCTTTTGTCCAAATAACTTTTTCTTTTTTGTTTTTCCCCTTCAAAGCGTCTTTCAAAGGTGCCGCAATACGGGCTTAGTCTTTTATGTACCTTGCATAGTAGCCCACAGTACCAAGGTAGCTACGTATCTGTGTTTTAGTAGTGGGGATCGGAAAATCTCTGATTTCTTGAATCTTGGCCTCACTAGGCGGCCTTTTCCCAGACCCTACTTCATGACGCAGAAATTTCACATGGTCTTGTGCGAATTTGCATTTCGAGGGCTTAACAGTCAATTTGGCCACCTGAAGGCGACCTAAAACCACATCCAAATCCTTCATATGCCTGTCCCAAGTCGGCGAAAAGATTGCGATGTCGTCAATATACGGTAGAACAAAATTGTCCAGCCCTCCTAAAACTTGAGCGATCAATTTACAAAAATAGAGAGGCTCATTTAAAAGCCCAAACATCATTTTCTTCGGGATGAAAGATCCAAAAGATTGTCACAAATGCAACATACCTCCGTGCACGCTCTGTGAGTGGTATCTGGAAGCATCCTTTGGTTAGATCCGTGGTTGTGATAAATGGAGCTGCGCTGACTTTTTCTACCACTTCTTTAATATTGGGAAGAGAGAAAAATTCAGTCACAGTGTTTGAATTTAATGTTCTGTAGTCTATACAAGGACGAGGATCTTTACCTGGGATCTCTACTAAGATCATAGGCGAAGCATAATCAGATTGCCCGACTTCTATGACTCCTAACTCAAGCAACCGCCTAATTTCCTCTTTTAGGATGTCGGTTTGTCTCGCCGACATTCGGTAAGGCCTGACTCTAACCGGAGTCTCGTCCAACAATTTAATATCCATTTCGACCAAAAACTTACAGCCGAGGTCGGACGAAAACACCGCTCCATACTTGCTTATAACTTCTTGGAATTTTCCTATTTCCTCTGCCGAAGTTCTTTCTTCTAGCTTACTATATCCAACTATTTTCCAAAAATCTACCTGAGTTGGATCAGACAAGGGATAAGGAATATCCACTTCTCCCTCAATATCTTCCATGACTTTCTCCATCACAAGATTCACAAACTCGGGGCGCTAATAATAAGGTTTCATCAAATTTACGTGATAAATGGTGTCACTGCTACGCTTACCCGGAATCTCTACCGTATAATTGGTTTCGGAAATCACACTAGTTACTTTACCTGACTCTATCCAGTTCAGAGCCATTTTGTGTGGTTTAGACGTGGCTAAAACAAGCACGAGATCTCCGACCTTAAACCTTCTCGTAACAGCGTTGCGATCATACCAGAGTTTCCTTTTGCTCTGACACTCTTTCATCCTCTCTACAGCCAGCTCCTGACACTTCTTTAATCTGTTTATTAAGTCTAGAACATACTCGACCACAGTGGGGTCTGAACTTTCTTCCTCTAGCCAGTTTTCATACACAATCGTTTGAGGCATTCTCAAATTTTTTCCATGTACTAACTCGCAGGGACTAAAACCTGTGCTCTCATGGCTAACAGTTCTGAGGGCGAACAAAGCACATGGCAAACATTCTTCCCAGTCCTTCCCGCTTTCCAAGCACAAAGCCTTCAATACCCTTTTCAAGGTGGAATGCAACCTTTCAACAGAATTGCTTTGAGGGTGACACACAGAAGAATGATACACCTTAATTCCGAACTTGCTAAAAAACTCAGATGTAAGTTCACTGGTAAACGATCTACCCAAATCACACTGAATTTCCTTAGGGTAACCTGATCTAGAAAAGATTTGTATCAAGGCTTGAATCACACATTTAGAGTTTAAATTCTGTACAGGAATGGCATCTGGATATTTGGAAGCAACACAAATAGACGTAATTAAGTATTTATTTTCACGCGAACTAGGGATCAGAGGTCCTTACTGCATCAATATTTAATCTGCTAAACACTTCTGATATAACAGGCACAATCTTCATAGGGGCTTTTTTTTATCCTTATTGTGACCTACACGCTGACAAATATCGCACGTCTTCACAAATTCTTCAATGTCCTGGTAGCAATTAGGCCGGAAATAGTGTGTCAAAGCTCTATCCTTGGCTTTTGTTACCCCTAAATGACCAGAGATTTCTTCGTGGCATAACTTCAAGATCCCTTTCCTAATAACGAGAAGCACACACAGCTGACGCTTAACTTCCCTTTTTTAGAACCTGCCACTCTGAATAGTCTTTCCTTGACTATTATAAACTCTTTTTCATTTTCACTTTCCCCTTTCTTCCACAGGGTCGCTAAACTAGCGCAAGTTTTTGTGCTTCCAAGAATTCTGCTGGCGAAACATCCGCAAGGATAGACCTTTCTTCTAAACTGATGTCTGCAATTTTAATTGCCTCCTCCGTATTACTGGTTAACTTCCTTTCTTCCGAATGCTCATTATTGACGGCCCTTTCACTTTCTATCTCTTTCTTTTCTTCCGATCTGGAATCTAAGTCTTTTGCACTCGCTCTCTCTAAACTCCTGCGCGCATGCGCCTGACTACGAGTCTCCACAGCATTCAAGAGAACCGGTCGTTCCCTAATTTCCTCAATCAACTGTGCAGTTTTATTCCCTAACAAATAGTACTCTTTATCTAACTCTACCGGAGTAACCGCTGCCTTTGTGGTGACCACACCAAAATCACCTTCAATGGTGACTTTCGCCAAAGGTAAACATTTACATTCTGTGTCCAAAGGCTGTTTCACCCATACAGTTTCCCCTAATAAGTCACTAGTATTAATCCAAGTACTATTACACAGATCTATACCAGCTCCAGTATCTGTCAGATATTCTCTCTCTATCCCATTAATTACTGCTTTTCTTGAAATACAGCTGAAAACATTTTCCTAAACTCTCCGTTCCTAGATTATTCACCAGATTAGCCTTATTCTTTTCCAGCGATGGACAGTTAGGTCGGATATGTCCGTCCTTTCCACATTGGTAACACCTTATTTTCCGCTGTTTCTCGAAACCTGCTTCATTGAAAACTTGCTTTTTTTTTTAGGAGCCTCCACTTTTCTATGCTCCTCTGATTTAATTCTTTGATGACCACTACTTTTCTGATTATAACTACAGTTAGAATTTATATACCGCTCTCTATCTTTCTCAAATGGTTTCTTTAACCCCGCTCTCTGTTCTAACTTCCTCGTATCTCTTCGCAAAGCCTCATACTTGTCGCATTTCTCTGCTAAAATGGAAGCTGTTTTAAATTCTTCCCAATTGTCTAAGTAGTGCTCTCTTATTTCTAGAGGGACTCGCCGCTTAATTTGCTCAGTGAGCATAAGTTCCTTAAGACTTTCAAAATCTTCTTGAACTTCTACTGAATCCAACCAATTCTCTAAATACACTCTCAATTCATACACTAAATCCACCCATAACATTCCGTTTTTTCTAGAATGTTCTTCAAATTTTGTTTTTAGTGCCCAAGAACTAAGCTTGAATCTCTGCATGAGTAATTTCTTAACATGCTGATAATCATCCCCTTTATCCGCTGGTTCTTTCACTATTAACTGGGCTACATCGTAAGGTAATAAAGGAATTAATTGCGAGACCCAATCAATCTCATTAACGTTCTCTTTTTGAGCTTGTTTCTCAAATAGCATAAAGAATAATGAAATATCTATATTACTCGGTTCAAAACGCGGTACTAGATCTTTCAAATTAACCTTTTTTTCTCTAGATTGTTCAACTTTCGAAACCGTGGAAGCTAGGCTATTAGTCTGAACCACATTCATCAGTTTTAACCTTTCCAATTCAAAAACTCGCTCTCGCTCCCGCTCCCGTTCCGCTCTCTCTTGTTCACGTTCCCGCTCTGCTCTCTCTTGTTCACGTTCCCGCTCTGTCTCTCTGTTCCACGTTCCCGTTCTGCTTTTCTCTGCTCAGCCGCAGCCAAAATTCTTGCCGCGTATTCTTTCGCAGCATCTTCTTCATAGTCCTCGGCATTTAGAATAGCCTGCCTAATTTGTCTTACTCTATTTTCCTGAGACGCATTTGTTTCAAACTCCTCCGCTAACTCCAATAGCAGAGCTTTAGTAAATTTCCTCATAAACTCACCCATTATGGAAAATTAAAGAAAAATAACCTACCCCGAAAAACAATAACACAAAAACAACAACAGGTCTATCTCTCCAAAACTGAATAATTCCCTAACAATTCTGAACACAAATTGCCTTACAACACTTAATGATAATACCTATGCCTAAAACAAAGCGTATATAAAAAAATGCTAATTAAGAGGCAACCTTTTCCTGCTCTATAACTAAAATATTGTCTTCTAATCTGGACTGATTTAAAAACTAAATTTTTTTAAGCATACCGTTACAATCTTCGAATAACTGGCATAACTTCTCCAAAATCACAAAAATGGTACTCACCAATTTTGAAGACGCCTTCGATTGACTCTCCTGGCACTACTTGGATATTCTTCCGGGAAATTTCACTATTTTGCGGCACTAGATCACGCTTCCTCCGGCGTTCCCTTCTGACACACTGTCACTTGTCACTGAAGAGGCTTCACCACGCGAACTGTCCTTGCACGCAAAATTAGATCGTTCTTGAAGAGAAAAAGTCTTGACTGTTCACATACAACTCAAGTTCACAGGCGAAAAAGTTCGTTCCTAATTTTACTCTCAGGGACAATCCCTAAAAGCTGCCACAAATTTTTAATATTTACTGCTGTGGTGTAGTGTTAATGCTTCAACGGTGGGATGTTGAACTCCAATGGAAACGCTAATGACGGAACACCACATGAAAATTTTATTGAACGCCCCCAAAAAATGGCTACGTACATTTCAGAACAGAAAAACCTAAATATTTTCCTTAAAATCAAATTCTATACATTTTACGTGCGAGAGCGATTCGTGGCTCTCGAGCTGGCGTTTTTAACATTGCCGACGATTTAATTACTTTAATAAAGACTATTTTAACAACTATTGAAAACGTATTTTTAAGTTAAATAATAATAATTTTCAGCTTATCCTCACGAGACATCCTTGTCCATATTAATCTTCAGTCTCTTCTTCTTTTATGTGACCTTATCACAATAGGTTTTAATCATTTCGTGAGTTCATCACATCCACACAAGATTAAAAAGATGTTGAATTTTGAGTGCCCACTCTAAATTGGATTGCTTCCACTTTTTTAAAATTTAGATCGCTTACATTTACTTTTATTTAGATCGCCCACCCGGTATAGTGGTTTGGGGAGTCGAGCTACAGTACCGAAGGTCCCGGATTCGAACCTCGGAGAAGGAATGGTTGTAACTGTCCTTCCTAGGAGGCAAATGTGGCCCACCTATGTTATGTGCCTCCGTAATAAAGTGACCATCACTTAGTAGCCGAAGTCCGCTGAGGGCCGCCATTGATAAAAGAAAACTTTTAGATTACGACATTTCTTATAAGCACTTAAAAGTATTTTATTTAAATTTTCATATACATTTTATTCGAAAAATTTATAATTGCTTATTGAACTTACAGTGACAAACTTCCTAAGACAATTTTAATGTTTTTCTTCTGTGTTTCTTAATTTCCAGAATATCTAAATTTATGCACTTTAGAAATCTGTAGCGAAATTAAAATTAATATTTCTGAGTGAGATTCTATTTTGTGGCGATTCTTTGTTCTCAGAATTCTTTACCTAGCAACTTTAAAGTATTGTATTTTTTAGTGTGTTGTAGTTTAGTACAACTTTTAGTGTGGTGGTTGTGATTCATACTATATATTAATACTTGTATATGCTCGAGTCATATGCTTTTTTTGGAGTAATGGATTGCTCAGACTCCCTCTTTTTTGTTCATTTTATTGTTGCAACATGTTTAATGCTTATGTAGTGGCGATGATGTGAGAGTGTAAGGAGTTGTACGTAGTCCTTACTTATTTTAAACATTGTCTTCATTCATTTCTGAGTCTTTATTATGTTGTATACTGTCCTTATTTATTTTGGTAATAACCATGATTTCTTATTGATCGTGTAACTCAATTATTTTAATGCATGTTATATGTTAGTAGATTTTTTCCACTGAACATATATTATAAAACTCTATTAATATACGTCTTCAACATATTATAACATCTTAAGCTATTTTATCAACCACCACGAAGTTCTGAGAAAAGGAATGACCACCTCGAAAGTTCGCACGGACAGAGTATTCCTTAGCGAATTTTCGGAAAGAGGAAGTGACCAGCAGTCACAAAACAATCTCAGCTTTTTGTTCCTCTTGTAGTTGTTCGAAAGGAGACATTGTTCAGTTCCCTTTCATCAGTTTATAGGTTCAGTGTTTCAGACCACCCGGTTTGAGAGCCCCAGTTGGAATCGAAAATTTCCCACGGACTTTTTCCCAGGCTCTCTTCATCATATCCAGTTTTTAATCAAAGTGCTCTCGCCAATTAAGAGGCGCTTCTAAAAATTACGGACAAATAAGGATCCTGGAAGTTTTCCCGACAACTTGAACAAAATCATGGAACGCATTTTCAAAGAGAGGAAAAAGTTAGAGTTAGTTGCAGTAAATAGAGAGAGAAACCTTCTCTCGGTTTTTTGTTCCAGCTCGGCCACGAGCAAATTTTTGCTTCGCTCTGCGTAGAGCGATACTAATATCTCTGCAAGAGATATACAGCGAGGTAGCCGGGTTCGCCGCTACCTTACGAACAGCATCCTGCCCGGACACAGCTCAGTCCGGCAACCACCGGCAGAGATTTGATTTATTCAAGACAGACTCATATTGAGCCTATCCTCATCTTGAACTATTTCCAAATTAGAACTTTCATCTAAACAGGAACTTATTCACCCTACTGTGAGAACAATATTTTATAAGTTTATTTATTTTTATTTTTTTGCATATAGCCTAGAAAGAACCCAAATAAAATCAATTACGCTACCTTTTGTTTTTTGAATTCGTCACAGCTATAAAGACTATGTGTAAAAATAGTGGTAGCTATGTGGATCCTGGAGGAAGAAGTAATTGAGACTTCTCCGTTCCCCGCGCAGTGTCAGCTACGACAAAGACTGTGTGGAAAACTGTGTGCAAAATGTGGCTGCAAAACGACAGAAGAAAATTTTCTCTTATGTGGACAATAGCAAGTTTCGGCGATCTTACCTCTGCATACGCGATTCCGGAAAGAAGTACCTCCAACTGTGACACCTAGTATGAAGTGATTTGCTGCATCCTGAATAGTGTTCAGTGAATAGTGATTTCCCTGCTAAGTGAAAAAAAGTGTGTTTTCTTTAGTGATATAAAAATGGAAACAAATACTAGTGCCATAGTTACGATCAAGTGCTTCTAAATTGATTAGAAAGATGTGTGTCTGCTTGTCTTCAAAACGGGGTAAGTCAATTTGGGCATAAACCTGTAGAGGCAATATTATTTTATTATGTGAAATTGCTCTGTGAATTTATATGTTTAAATTGATAGGTCACTCATAACCCTGAATGGTTTGAGAAACCGAATTTTAATTTCAATTTTTCAAATTTAAGAGGCATATGTTATTTATAAATTAAGTTTTGTTTTGCTTTTGTCGAAAAGTATTTTAGAAATTTCCTTATTGTACTGAGCATTATTACCTGTTTGAGCTGAAATATTTTATTTAAAAATTGTAAGCTGAAATTATTTGTTCTAAATTGTCTTTACTTCTTAACATTTTGCTAATCACAAGTAGCCTGTGTAAAGCATATCATAAATTGCGATGTTATTTTGTGTTATTCTTATTAATTCTAAATAAGAATTCTAAATAAATTCTTATTAATTCTAATATTTTAATAGTAGTCTATGTCAAGCATATCATAAATTGCAATGTCATTTTACGTTATTCTATTTAATATTAAAGTGTGAAAGATTTTGATAGTAAGCAACTAATACTTTTGAAAAACTATTTTATTTTGTGTATGATCTGAAATTTTATAATTTGAAATATGTCATATCTTGGGAAGGGTAGGAAACAGGATCTCATAAATCTGTCTGAGGAATTAGGTTTAGAGATTCCCCCCAACGCAAAAATACAGGATCTTAAAAACCTTATTGTGCAGAGTCCTCATTATGACGAAACATTTGTCGAGACAACGCTAGAGTCCATTATTGAAACTCGTATAGAACAACGTAGGCTCGAAGAAGCCGAAAAGCAGAGACTAGAAAAGGAACGGGAGAGACTAGAAAAGGAAAGGGAGAGGGAGTTTGAATTGGAACGACTGAGGTTCACAAACGCCAACAATGTCAGAGAAAATTCCCAGTATAATATTCCTAGGTAAGTAAGAGAATGGCAAAATTTAATGCAGAGATATAATCCTGAATCATCGGATATTTCTCTTTATTCAGCGATGTTTGAGCGTCAGGCTCGCAAAGCGAATGCAGACGAAGGAGACTGGGTGTCGCATTTGATGGCTTTATTGCCAATGGACATTGTTTCTATTATTCTACAGAGAACCGGAAAGAGGAGCTCGATAATTACACTTATGTGTAAAGAAAATTCTTTTACAACGTTTTCAAGTTGAGCCCAGAGGCTTTTCAGGTTAAATTTGTCCAGCGCCGTGCAGGTACTCGATAATAAAAATTTTGTCTTCGATCTGAGGAATTATCTGGAGGAGTGGTTATACGGAGCGGAAGTGCGAGATTTTGATTTTCTGAAAGACTTGATGTTGACAGATCAAATTAAACGTCGTGTAAACGGCGAAATTCGCGAACATTTCTTGGATGATTGGCCGAATATAATAACTTCCTCTGAATTAGTCAGAAAATTAGATGAATATGAAGAAGTACGTAGGCCCATAAAAACCCACATGTTTTGTTGAAAGCACCGAACAAGACTCTAAAGAAAGGAAGAAAGGTGAATCTGCAGATAGAATACGTCGCGGTGATGAGGGTGCGAAAGAAAAGACTGCCGAAAAATGGAAGCCAAATGTGTTCGAAAAACGGAGAGCACGTAGATGCTATGAATGCAACTCGGAGAATCATCTCCGATACCGGTGCCCGCGATTAAAAGCTACGACGGAAATCCATGGAAGTCGTAAATAATTTGGATATTTTGGGTACCCCAAACATGTGGCTTGACCCATATATTATACTGTGAAAGTCAACGATCGAAAGATTAAAATGTTTAGAGATACTTGATCCACTATTGACTTATTAGGAAGGGATTATGTAACATCAGAAATGTTGTTAAAGAAAACTGTCTTGATCAAGCAACCTTTGGACCCGCAACCGTTTCGGTTGCGTCTTGCACAAGTAGAATTCGAAGGAGAGAATTTTGGAAGGTAATTACCAAAGCAGCAGTAATTAGCCAAGATCTCAATCAGGAATACTACTTATTGGGTAATCGAATAGCTCAGTTGATTTACCATAATATAAAGATCTTTGGTAAAGATAATGCAATCGAAGATGCCCCAACGAGCTGCAGCCGTTAAGCCAAACAAAAGAAGGGAGACGAAAGTCAGGGAGTCGGTACAGATGAAAAAGGGAAGTTTCCCCGTCGAGTCAGCTAAGGTTCGAGGCAAAGAAAGGGTGAAGTGTTCTCACCGTTCGGACAACAGGTCAAGAAATGGACAAATTAAGATAACAAAAGTGGTCATTAACCCACGAAGTGCATGGGCTTCTTTAGATTTACGAAGAAAGCGAAACGTTTCTAAGAAAAAGACGCTGTTCCGCCAGGACGAATTTTTGTCTGAAATCCCGCAAGAAAAGAGTGCAGGAAGACCACCATCACAGATAACGAGAACGCAGATAAATTGGTAAAAGAAACTCGAAATCTCAATTAAAAAAATATAAATGTTGTCAACTCGGACGCAAATGCCGTGACCAAATACAGATTAAAGGGTCTTTCAGTTCCATTAAAGCAACAACTTCATAAGAAGTTGCTGCTTCATTGATGATCGACTTATAACTAAAACTATAATCAAGCTTAGATATGGTCATCACAGAGAGTTAGAAATGGAGACAGAGGGTAGAAAGCCTGTAGAAACTGTAATAAATGCCCTGACATAGAATTGACAACTGCACACATAATTCAATGTCGGGCGTTTCTTGCTAAAATGTTAAATGACTGATTCCTGTTTCTGATACAAATTCTCTACGATAACAAATGTTTCAGGGCTATCATCGTCGCCTGTGTCTCCATTTAAGTAGGCGTCATCTTAGACACCACAGCTACAAGAATAATGCATGTCAAGTGCCCTCTTACGGAATTAGGTTTTAATGTCTCTATCTGTACTATATTTTCTCGGTCTATGTCGCATCACCTTTCAACAAGGATCTGAAGCTGAATGTTGTTCACGGTGTCCTAAATATCCTAAATAAGCAGGGACATTGAAAAATGGATGAAGGACCGGAACTTCACCTACGGATTTACTAGTTTTGCTGCTCCGTCGCAATGCTGTTCT